TGGCCGCCATGGTAATGGTTCCGTGGCACCTGGAGTTCATGTTCCGCACACGACAGCCGATGGCGACGCTGATTCAAATCAGTTCAGCGCAACAGCACAACCTCACCATACAGGTGCAGTTAAAACACACACTTCATATTCACACGTTTTTACAAATGATGGCTCTGTTACTGATACAAATACGCCACCAAAATATGGTTAGTTAGGTACACACACACACCCACACACACACACACACAGTCTCTCTCTCTCTCTCTCTCTCTCTCTCTCTCTCTCTCTCTCTCTCTCTCTCTCTCTCTCTCTCTCTCTCTCTCTCTCTCTCTCTCTCTCTCTCTCTCTCTCTCTCTCTCTCACACACACACACACACAGATAAACACACACAGCTGATCAGCTTCAGCAGGTAGGTGCACTGACTGATTTTTTTATGTGTCTGCAGCTCCACCTGCTGGCTGTGTGTGACATGACACCTTACACACAGTAAACCTGGGTTTAACAAGCAGTTTTTGTTATTAGATTTGAAAAACAACTTTTTTTGTTCTATGTATATGTATTTCTTATTGACATTTGGAGTGGGACATTGATAAGTTGATACTTGATTCATTATAATTCATATAATATTTTACATGAATATATTATACTCATATGTATGATTCATCGTAGAGCGTGTTTGATAGGACAGGTGTTTGTGAATTGAGTGATGATGTCATACGTCGGTCCAGCGCGGCGAGGACTCCACCATGTCTCGTGTTGATGATGTCACAGTGAGCGACGGCCAATGGCATCATCTGTTGCTGGAGCTGCGGGGCCCTGCGGCAGGCGGCGTAATGGCGGCGCTGAGCCTCGACCACGGCCTGTACACGGTGAGACATGATACATTTGACCTCGTCTTAAAATATTACTACATTTATTATTTTATAGTTTAATACACTTAAAATGTTTTGTAAAGACTTTTATCATTTGAATTTATTTACCAATTTAATGTAGATGTAATGTGTGTGTGTGTGTGTGTGTAGTCAGTTGGTTAATATATTTTATTATATTATTATAAACAATATAAAATTAAGTTTAATAAAAATACTTTATACAATTTATTAAACAGTATAAAATTATAATAACGTACTGTAAAATGTTTATATTGTTTAATAAATTGTTACATTTATATTATATTGTTTTTTATTTATTTACTTTTTATTATACTATTTTAGTTTTATATTTCTTCAAAAAATATTTTTCTATTTTTTATTTTAATATTATTTAATAAATTGTAAAAAACATTTTTTATATTGTTATTAAACATAAAAATTAACTAAAATAAAATAAAAATGTAACAGAATTTAAAAAAAATGTATTTTATTATGTATACTTTTG